AGAGAGAGAGTGAAGAGAAAGAGAGAGTAAAGAGAGAGTGAAAGAGGAGAGAGGAGAGAGTGAAGAGAGAGAGAGAGAGTAAAGAGAGAATGAAGAGAGAGAAAAAGTGAAGAAAAAAGAGAGTAAAGAGAGAGTGAAGAGAAGAGAGAGTAAAGAGAGTGAAAGAGAGAGTGAGAAAAGAGAGTGGAAGAGAGAGTGAAGAGAAAGAGAGGGTGAAGAGAAAGGAGAGTGAAGAGAGAGAGAGAGAGAGTAGAAGAGAGAAGAGAGAGAGAAAAAGTGAAGAGAAAGAGAAGAGAGAGAATGAAGGAGAGAGAGTAAAGAGAGAATGAAGAGAGAGAAAAAGTGAAGAGAAAGAAGAGGGAGAGAATGAGAGAAGAGAGAGTAAAAGAGAATGAAGAGAGAGAAAAGTGAAGAGAAAGAGAGAGTCAAGAGAATGCGTTTGGAAATTCCAGTTCTATCAAATCACTCTTCACTCATGTTTGAGGTAAGGTCCATTTGCAGGCAGTGTTTCCTTGTATTTTCACCTTTGGAATTTTTCACTAATTCTTATCGGTATTATTTTCGCCATCGTCAATATCAACAGCTTTATCGTAATCGTTATCGTTTTTGTTATCGTTATCATTATCATGATTACTATTATTATCATTATCGCCATCATCCATCACATCATTGTCATTATCATTATCATCATTATCATTATCATTATCATCATCGTTATCATATCAATTATTATCATCATCATTCATCATCATCATTTCATTCACTATCGCACAATCATCATCATCATCATCATCATCAATCATCATCATATCTATCATCGTTTACATATTATCATGATCATCATGATCATGAATCATCAATCATCATCATCATCATTATTATCATGATCATCATTATCATTATCATTAGCCTTATCTTCATCATTATCATCATTAATACCATCATTATTAGTACAACCAATATCAACATCAATGGCCATAATTGGACTATAATTATATCATTATCACCCTTATCATCATCAAAACAAAACAAGAAGACAAATATCATTATCTGTTATAAAAACACTTTTAATTTATGTTCATAACCTCATCTTTTAGATACATGATTGCTTATTCAGAGGTATAGATAAAAAAATAATCAATATCACCGTGTTCGTTACTCTATTTAACACCTATAAACTCTCTCTCTCTCTCTCTCTCGTCGTCTCTCTCTCCTCTCTCTCTCTCTCTCTTCTCTCTCTCTCTCTCTCTCTCTCTCTCTCTCGTCATCTTCCTCTCTCTCTTCTCTCGTCTACTCTCTCTCTCTCTCTCTCTCGTCTCGTCTCTCTCTCTCATCTGTCTCTCTGCTCTCTCTCGGGCGGTCGGCGGGGCTCTCTCTCGGTCTGCCGTCGGTGTCGTCTCCTCTCTCTCTTCTCTCTGCTAGTATATATAGTATGAGTTGATATTACTATAAACTATAAGATAAGTATATATAATAATATTTAATAGTACTATATATGAATATGACATACATATATACTATGTATTAGGTGACATATATAATATACATATACATATGCCTATACAATAATACCATCATACATATACATATCATATAATACTTACTAGTATAATATATATAGTAGTGTATATATATTATAGTATAAGTGGAAGTAATATATATAATGATTATTAATGGAATCAATAATAATATACATATATAGAGGAGAATATACGGAGGTATAGAGTCGGCAGTATAGAATATAAATATAAGTACAATAGAGGAAAGACATATCAGGTATAAAATACACGAAGGAACTAAGTGAGGGAAAAGGTGAATAGATCTAACATATATAATCAATAGCTATATACATAATATTATATTAAATACATATATATAGAGAGTAATAAGTATTTTGGATAAGAAT